GGTGCTGCAAAGTAATGGTGACAGCAGTGCTCCGAAGTCTCAAGGTGATGGTTCTCATGACGGCCCTGTTAGTTTTTTTGGATGAACTTTTGTTTGTTGTGACTGCAGAATTATGTAGTATACCTTTCATTGACGTGTAATAATTATCAAAATATTTATACATTTGATTCAAGATGTTTGTTTATATTTTTTGCTCAGAAATTTTTCTTTTTCGTCCTGAAGTAGTTCCTGCTTATTTATAGTTTGATCTTGCTGACACAATGGTGTATCAAGCGATTCACACGATAGAATTTGTCTTGGGTTGTGTGTCACATACGGCGTCGTATTTACGACTTTGGGCGTTGTCATTGGCGCATGCGCGTAAGTTTTCTAACTTATATTACTAATTTAGGCTTATTGTGTTTATTAATGATGCTGTAGTAAGGCTTTCACTACTTCAATTTTGGTGTTTTTGCCTCTCTTTGTAGAATATAAGATTTTGAGTTCTTTGGAGTTGAAGATTCTTTCAATACAACTAGTTTATTTGCTTTTGAAACAGTTAGACAGGTCTTGTTTTTTCGTTTTGTCTTCAGTTTGGAAATTCAGGTAAGACCTTCAGCATTTCATTGGACTGGTTCTCGTGCCCTATTTTGGCTTTTGAATTTGAAATGCTTTTGTCTACTGTGTAACCTGCTAATCTGCATCTTTCCAGCATTACTTTGTTTATCAGTCGTTCTAGTGCAGTTCTCAAAAGCCAGTTCAATAATATTTGTTCACTTTTAGTTTCTCTATCATTAATGGGTTGTTTGCGCAAGGCAAGAAAAGATGAATTGTGAGCAGTGTAAGGAGACCTTGTGGGTGTACTGCAATTTTTAAGTGATTGTATGAGAACTTTTTTTTAAAGATCTTTTCGACTTGAGTTCTCTGGCAATGAGCAGTTTTTTTTGTTGCTACACAATTGAATTTTTGATCTAGGGACAGTTGCAATAACTGTTGCAAAAACTCATAATTATACTTTTTCTCCTACACTCTGAATAGTTTTAACCGAGGTGGAAGGATGGAAAACTTAGAGCCAAGTAGAGTTGGATAAATTAGCATATTCATTCTAAACTGGACTTATGGAAGTGAAAAGTATAATGTGGAAAAACCATCACACTACTTGCATATTTAATGTTCGAAAGGCGAATTTCACATTCCCAAATTTTTATTGGTTTTTGATATCTTTTCTCATGAAGAAATTTAGTTGAAGAATGCCTTCACTATTTTTTTAATTTTCTAAGACATACTCTAAGGTTTGGACGTTTACAGAATCACTTCAAATTACAGGAGAGTAACCAATTAGCTTTAGTGAATTTAAAAGGTTGAATTTTCAAGAATGAAGAATTGTTATTTTGAGGCAGTTTGGGACAACTAACGTGAAGTCGTGACTTTGTCAATCTGGTCTCGTAATTTTCAGTTTAGGGTTCTGTTGGCATCTAAGTTATTAAGTCGCGCTAGTCAGTAGACGAGGCAGACACAGTTGCTTCTTAGAAAGTGATTCTAACATATTGTCTTCGCAATAAAATAAATCTTCAATTTCTGGCACTTTTTCTATTCAGAGTTGTCAGAAGTTTTATGGAATATGGTGTTTCGGCAGTCATTTACTGTGAGCGGGTATTTGGGAGCTTTGGCTACATACCTGTTATTTTTCGTATTCGCTTTCCTTTCTTTCTCGATACTCGTTTTGATGGAAGGACTTAGCGCATTTCTACACGCTCTTCGGCTTCACTGGTGAGATTTAGGGATTGATTTTACCAAATAATAATTAGTAGCCTAAAAATTTTCAGTATTTTTATTTTTGAAAATTCACTATGTCTTGTTATCAAGTTTTTTTTCAGGGTGGAATTTCAAAGCAAGTTTTATAAAGGTCTTGGTTATGCTTTTGTTCCATTTTCCTTTGAAACTATTTTGGAAGAGGCGCGTGCGGCTGAGGAAACCTTATGATGTTTATACTGCAATTTGCTATTTACTGAATATTTTCTGAAGAATTTTTTAGTACACATTGTCATTGAGGTCTCATTTTTTCTTCATTATTTCTCAACGTTACTTAACAGAGATCTGAAAAGAATTTCAAGTGATTTTTTCGAAGAAGTAACACGTTTGGGATTTATTTTAATGGTTGAAAAATTTTGTTTGTTTCCTATGGTAATTGGTAAATCTTGTTGCTCTTTGTTTCTTTTTTAGTTTCCTTTTTTGTTAAAAACTTGAAGTTGCTTATGCAGTGGTAACATGTCGGAGGAGATATGCTCGTTCATTGTTTCTTTTATTATTTTTATTTTTTTTTTCTGTTTCAATGTCAAATTTTCGAAATTTTATCGCTGATTACCGGATTGTATGAGCCTCTCTTCCTTTCATTTTTTATACATTTTATGGGTTGTCAGTGAGCTAAGATCAAAATGATTTTGCTTCAAAGATTACAGTAATTTATCGTCTATTTATTTACTTTCTGTATTATTTATTAGAAGAATTCTAGTACTGCACAATTTGCAGGAGTTTTAAATATAGCTTAATCATCTATGTCAACTGGTGTCATTATGTGCATAAATTATTTATTCCAGTTTTATTTGAGCAGTTGATTAGTTTATTACATATTCATTACTGCAGAAGTGTTATTCGACCTATAAAACCCGAAATTTTTTCCGGTGTCGCTTGGAACATTTTAGTCAGCGTTTTTATCCGTTCACGATGACATGTTGTTCGCAGTTTCAAAATAATCCCTATGGAGAGCCAGAATTTACTGTAGACAGCGCGTAGGTCTTTACGGCAACTTGGCGTAGTGAAACGGTTAATCCAATTTTACGCTTCCATTGTACATTATATATATATATTCATCGTGCCGAGAGAGAGATTATTTGGTGCAATGATGTCTAGTGAGCGATTTTGTCTTGCCGAAGGGCGGCGGAGTGTGCCAGGAGGGTTTGGAGCTTAGGGTAGTAGTTAAGTAGCTCAGAATTTGGGGTTGGTCATGAGGATGGTTCAGAAAGGGTTGTGGTCATAAGTCATTCGTTTTGCTCCTCTTTTTCTTGATAAGAGCTCCGTTAATGGTGGGCTGTTAAGTGCATGGGTCCCTTTCATTCTCGGCTTAGGAAGGTTGGAGTCAAGTGTAAAAGTAAGCAGAAGCAATGTAGGCAGTGGTACAAGAGAGGGAGTGACTTCGGAGGGGAACGCTGATGATATTTTTTCTCATAAGGAAGGTGATGGGGCAAAAACATCTGAGGATTGTGGTGTAATGGAAAAGTGGTCTGCTTTCAGTTTTTCGTAGCAATAATAGGTACTTCAGGTTTTTATGGCTAACAGTTTTTCTAGCTCAAAGTAGGAAGCAATTTAGGTTTTGACCAGGATTCAAAAGTAAGTATCATGATCTATATCAGTGAGTACTTTTGAGCAAAAGGAGTAAGAAGTTTTTTGGGACAGTGGAATTGTTGCGTCGCTGTACCAAATCCCCTTTGTTGAATAAAGTAGTGCTGTTGTGACGCGGGGTATTTTGTGAGTGAGGAAATCACCGGAAGTGCTGGAGCTGAGTCGAGGTTCTATGTCATCCTGTTCAATAACTTGTTAAAGTTGAGGTCAATAGAAAATGGTTAAAGTATTTTTGTATCCTGCAGTTAAGCGAGTTGTATTTATCTTATTGGGGGACGTGTTTGTTAACCAGATATTTTGGGCAGTTTATCTGCTAAGACTGTTAAACAGTTCAAAGGAAAACTGTTGCACATTGAAGAGATTCGGACAAAACACGCTTGATGAGAAGTTCAGGAGTATTAAAAATTTGGTAGGCAGAATTTCTCTTTGCCTATACTATAGATGTATAATATTTTTTTGGGAGGATTTGTCATTGGACTCATGAGTTCATCGTGGTTTTGAAGGCTATATGATTGACATATCGTGCCGTCCACTTTCCAGTAATTTTATCTGTGGGGAAAATAAAGAAAAATTTTTTCTGTAATTACACTGTCATTATTGCGCTTTTCCTCAACATTTTTTCTATGGTTTGTATGATGTCTCTTTTTTCCCGTTAAATTTTCTTACCTGGTAAAATATTTAAGTGATCAAAGAAAGAAAATAAAGTTTGACGTGATGGTAATGTGAAAAACAAAGAAGGTATTTCTTG